GGGAAAGACGGTTATTCTTTTCGTGGGGCTGCGGGTGAAAAAAGCGTGGGGAGAGGGATACGGTATTTTCGGGAGGCGGCAGGGCGGAGTGCCCCTGTGTCCGGTCGCCCCGAGAAAAATCGCGATAGCACGCCGGACTGGGCAAAGGGCAGCCGTGAGAAAAATATGAAAACAGGCGCCGCTAGCCTGCTTAAGAATTTATTTTGGAATCGAATAGGCAAGAGGGAAATCTACTCAAGCTCAAGATCAAATCAAAGGAACAAGGGGCAAACAGTCAGTGCATTTTCAGTAACTTTTTTTCTACAGAGTAGCTTAAGAAACATTTTAAGAGACCTTGAATTAAATACCGCGTCGTTTCTTTCCGTAGCAGGCCAAGTCGCTTCGATTACCGAACTTAAGTGAAACATCCGATTAGCTTTTTACTGTTGGTCCCCCAATGCCCTTTTGATGGGCACTGTCTGGCCCAGAGAGGCGATGCGAAGTGTCTGTCTGTCTGTCTGTCTGTCTGTTTGCCTGTCTGTCTGTCGTTTTTAAAAGGTCACCAGCCGGCGACCCCAAGCACGTGTCAGAGATATCTCCGAAAAATCACCAACTTGCTCCTAATCCCAAGCTACTGCCATATCACCACGTCCGACTTGGCGACCAGATGCGAAGTATCGAGTAGTTTGCGTAAGCTGGCCAAACTGTTGGTGAAATGTGATCTGGTGTCTTGCGCAATCGGTAGACAGCTACTTCTCGACATCGATACAAGGCAAAGAGTGTGAGCAAGGCAGAGAACGAAAAAGAGAGGGTGAGAGAAAGAGTTTGGGGGTGAGAAAGGAGGGAGATAGAGCGAGGGACAGAGAGAGGGAGAGAAAGAGAGAGAGAGAGACAGAGAGAGAGAGAAAGGGAGAGCGGGAAAGAGAGGGAGAGAGGGAGAGTGTTTGTGTGTGAGTGAGAAAGTATAGGGTCAGAGACAATCCCACAAAAATAGGACCAATTGTAAGGAATTTTATTTATTTGATGACGATTGAGGCAGCAATCTCTGTCGGTGAAGATTTGAATGTCTGCGCCTTAAATACCATCAAATGTTTGCCACGTAACCAATAAACTTCTAAGAGGTGCGGTTTAAGTTGCTGTGTCCGACTCGCGCAAAGTCTTCGCCAAACTACTTTTATTTCTGGACCATAAAAAAGCAGAGCTGATGTCCCTTATTCTCGCGTCCCTTTTCGGTTGTCGCTAGCAGCTTATATCCGGATTGAAGGTGTGAAATCTGGAAATGGAATGTTAAGTGGTTCTCGCTCCCAGGCCACCGGCTTGGGCTTCTGCAAAACCCGGGTCTTAGAGTCTCGGTGGGATTTCAAAACAAGCCCTAGCACATCTTATGCAGAATTTTTTGCTGATTCCGAATCTGTTTTCAAAAACCGCAAAATAGTTCGGATTCAAAAATTCATGTATGAAGTTTTTAAGTCCAATTTAAGCTAAAAATGGCAAACTTTATGCTCACTCATTCTCATCCTCCTCATCATCCTGATTGGTTTTTAAAAAAGAGTATATCGTCATTTATTCCGTCGAAAAAGTTCTTCAACTCAAAATTATCAAAAATTGAAAAATTTGACGATGGCCTGCAGTTGTGTATGGGACTGGGCGAAAAACTACGTCATTTCCAACGTTGAATCATACCAAAAGTTATCCATTTTTCCACAAGTGCTCCAGCCCAATCATCACGTTGCACCATGCCATTTCTGAAATTATTCATTAGCCGGGGTATAACGCGACTTGACAGATTCCGAACCGAAGTTAAATTTTAGCTTTGCGACTCTGCTATTTGCGCGGATTTCCTGTATTTCCAAAATTGCTCGGGATTTACTTGACATTTTATCTACACGAATTTCAGCAAAAAAATCATAGTCATAAAAATCAAAATGGTCCTGGACCTCCCTCTTTTTCTCCTCCTTGATTTCTCGTCGGAGGTTGTTTTTGTAGTCGACGGCGAGGGCGAAGGGGGCTGGTCTGGAAAGTCGGCGTTAATTGGTTGAATCAAAGCAAATTCCCGGACTTCCGGTCGCTCTAATGGTTTTCCGGTGAAATGGCTCTGGTTACGGTAACGATCAGCCAGCCTATCCGACTCATCTTGTTAGTAAAAACAGCTTAATTAGTTTTCTTTTCGTAGCTTACTGGTCGATACTTTACACTGATACTGTTGCCGATCGTCAATTTTTGCGGCACAGTCATTTATGAATTTAGCAAAAGCATAAAACAAATCTGTGTCATAAAATCATAAATTTGGCCCCTGGTCCTTTGCAAAAAACTTATTAGCATAATTAATCGGCCTTGCTTTATGAATTTTGTAAAGGCTAGCTTCTTAATTTCCATAATTTCTATTCGTTCAAAACTAGGCTTCAATAGCTTACTTAAATTTTGCTCTACTCGCTTTCTCTAACTTGCTCGGATATAAAAAAAGCCAAAAAACGCACATTTCCATAATTTTTCTATTCGATCGCGTCCAAAACTGCGTCCGAGATTCGGCGTTTTGCGGCACCACACCTAAAAAGTCATCAGTTTTTAAAAGCGTCAATAAAACCAAGACTTGATTATTGATAAATCGATCAAAAAATTAGCTCACCAAAATGTTCCACATTTTACAAGCCCGTCGACGTCTTCTGGTCCAGCGGACTTGCCGGTTTCTAAAAATCTCATTGACAAAGCTTCCGTTAATTTTTAGATCCATCGAATTTTTGATGATTGAAACGTTTATTATTGAAACTTTAAACTATCGAGATAGGTAAACCCTTACAAACCAGAATTAAAAAATTGATGCTTACTTTAACTTGCTATCAGCAAAATTCCCTTAAAACTTGAAGAAGACGAGGCAAATCAGAAGTTGATTGCCCAGAGAAGGCCGCTGGTTGATGCAGCGGCACATTTAAGAAAAATCACCCAAGCAGAGGCGGGGGCCTGGAAAAACATTCGTTTGAAAGGCACATTAAAGTCCACGTTCGACGAAAAAGAAAGAGTAAGAAACGGAAAAGTCTGATCTACGAGTCGGTGTCTGCGAGAGAGAGAGAGAGAGCGAGAGAGAGAGAGAGTGAGAGAGAGACAGAGAGAGAGAAAAGAGATTTATTTTCGGAAATGAACGAGAGATCGGATTAAAAATCATTGAAACAGGAAAACATGAGCTTAAGGCCAAAGCCACATCTGAAACTTTTGCCGAAAAACCTACGGTAACCGTAGCCAGGCGCCGATTTGCATAAGGCGTATAGGGAGAATGACCCAACGGGTTAATCCAAAGTCCGAGTGGGCGGAGTCAGCATCCCATCCTGTGCTTGAGCCCTGCTCTCACTCTCTCTCTCTCTCTCTCTCTCTCTCTCTCTCTCTCTCCCTCTCTTTCTGTCTCTCTCTCTCCCTTTCTCGCTGTCTATCTCTCCTTCGCTTCCTCTCTCGCATAGGGTAACGGGGGCACTCATTATTAAAAAATTTTTAACTACTGTGGGATTTCCCAAAGACTCTTCGATAGAGCGTCAAAAAATAAACTGAAAGAATTAAGTTGAGCCCGAAAAAATATAATGAAAATTTTTTATTGAATAAGGAAAAATTTATTAAAATCCATGGGCAGCACATATGATAACGGGGGGGGGGATTAGTCAGAGATCTTTTACAACGCGAAAAATTGTAATATAAAAGCCCAAAAACCATCTTTCAAAACTATGAACAGCTCCTAGGTTAACGGGGGCGGTAGGATATTTCCGGGGTTTTGAACATTTTCTCGATTTTGAAAATATCATTCGATCGAGGGCCGAAAATCTACTAATTTTTTTGTAGCCCGAAAAAACCATAACGCAAAAACATTTTTATTATAAAAAATTGGAGTGCCCCCTTCCCCCGTTATACCGCCCCCCAATCCTTACTCTGTCACACCCTCTCTCCCTAGCCGCACACAAACTTCACAGAAACCCCACAACATGACTGCAGGTGAAAAGTCGCGACGACTGACAAATTATCGAAGTGTGCGTGCACATTGTTCTAATGACACTGAAAAATCCCAGCGGAGCTTCCGATGTCGACACCAGATATCTATGCGAATAACCTCTTTCCCCAGCCATTGATCTTTCATATCATCGGTCCAATTACGTTCCCAATCAATGTTGTCGGGCTCTACATAATTTGGACAAAAACGGAGAAGATTATCGGGGAGTATAAGTATCACCTTACCACGCATTTGGTAAGTAATGGATGATTGAGTCTCTCTTTCTCTCTCTCTCTCTCTCTCTCTCTCTCTCTCTCTCTCCTCTCTCTCTCTCGCTCTCGCTCTCTCTCTTTCTCTCTCTCGAAAACATTTCATTTGTTTTAAGCTAATCACTCTCCTCTGGGATACCTGTATGTGCTTCATCTTTTGCCCAAAGATGCGCACCCCAAATTACATGGCCTCATTTCATGGGATTGTCGAAAGTTTTGGCTTGCTCAGCCACTGGACCCAACAGGTTTTTTAAATTACGAAGAAATTAAAAATACGATTGGGACGTTTCAAAAAATTTTAAAAGCCATTGGAACCTTAAAATCAAAAATTTTTCAGTGCTGCTGCTTTATCGTGATGGATATGGGGTTTTGCTCCTGCGTGCAACTGGTCGGGTATCGCGCGAATGCTGTTTTAATGCCAGGTGCGAGATTCCGGATGGAGGGTCGGAAATTTAATTTGTTCATCCTTGCGCATTACTGCTATATAGTAATCTATGGGATACTGGGACAAATCGGGATGGGGTTGCAAACGGATATTACGGCGGCGGCACAGGAGTATATCGCTGTAAGTCTCTAGTAATCTCTAAAAATGGATAGATCTCTCTATGTATATCTCTCACTATCTCTCTCACTATCTCACTCTCTCTCTCTCTTTCTTTGTCTCTTCATCCAAAGATATTCCGATACCTAGAAGCCGATTCCAGCTCCACCCCGAATACCCCAGCCTCCGACACCCCGAAGTCGCACCCAGTCTATTATACGCCGACTCGAGCTTGACGGGGACGATGCTCAACACCCTCGACATGTTCTCCCGATTTGCCATCAATGTGGCCTTTTTCGGCTTTTACAGCTACCTCATGGTTCAACAAATAAGCTCGAAGCTCATTTCCGTGCATCGGGCCCGCGATATTAAGAAATACCTAAATGGAGTCATGTTGCAGGTGATTTTCACGTTTTTGCGTTGAAAGTTTAAGATAAGTTATAAGGGAAAAAGATGATTCGAAAGCAAGGGAGAGAGAAAGAGAGAGAGAGAGAGAGAGAAAGGGAGAGAGAGAAAGCAAGAGAGAAAGAGAGTGAGATAAAACAAGAGAGAGAGAGAGAGAGAGAGAAAGAGAGAGAGAGAGAGAGAGAGAGAGAGAGGGAGAGAAAGGGAGAGAGAGAAAGCAAGACAGAAAGAGAATGAGATAAAACAAGAGAGAGAGAGAGAGAGAGAGAGAGAGAGAGAGAGAGAGAGAAGGAGAGAGAGAGAGAGAGAGAGAGAGAGAGAGGGAGAGAAAGGGAGAGAGAGAAAGCAAGACAGAAAGAGAATGAGATAAAACAAGAGAGAGAGAGAGAGAGAGGAGAGAGAGAGAAAGAGAGAGGGAGGGAGGGAGAGAGAGAGAGAGAGAGAGAGAGAGAGAGAGAGAGAGGGAGAGAAAGGGAGAGAGAGAAAGCAAGACAGAAAGAGAATGAGATAAAACAAGAGAGAGAGAGAGAGAGAGAGAGAGAGAGAGAGAGAGAGAGAGAGCCAGAAAGCCAGAGAGCAAGAGAGCGAGAGATCCAGAGAGAAAGAAAGACGACTTTTCCCATTTCAGCTCGCACCAACCGTCGTTTTCTACATGCTCCCATTGTCCTGGTGCGTATTTACCTACGTCTTCGACCTACGCATAGCGCTAAATCAAGGTGAGCATGACCCCTTTATACACCCTGTCGATTATACAAGGCGTCTCAATAAAAATGATCGCGCTGGCGTTTCGACATCTTGGGCCCGTACGACTTCCAATTTTTCCCAGTGGCGCTGAAGGGAATTTAAAGTGCACACAGAAAGTTTCTGCAAGTTAGCTACAGTACTTTTCAAGTAATCTAAAAAGATCAACTTTATTTTTCGTTTCTAACCGAGGTTTTGACGATTTGGCTTGGCAGTTGGCTAATTAAGCTATTTGTAACCGAGTTCAGAGAGGGAAAGGATTTAGAGCCGGAAGATGTTAATTGATGCTGGAAGAACAGTATTTTTGCAACGCGAAAATTGACGTTTAGAAAATTTCTGTGGACATCGGAAATCGATTGGTACTGCTATGCTCAAATTTTAAATCGTTCAGACCCGAATTTTACCTTTTCCAGCCTACACACCTCAAACAAAGTGTAAAGTGTTGATTCGAGGCTTACAACCATGAGCTTTATTTCATCCTATTTGCAGACGCATGCAACCGTAAATCCATTAAGGATAATTTAGTTATCAACGACATTTGCGCGTTGGTGTCAGTGTTCCAGAGCCCCGTCTGCGTCATGACTGCCGTGCTGCTCAACAAGGGATCCCGAGAATTTTTCAAGAAGAAAATTAATAAAGGTATCGGTTTCGATTTGTTTACAGGATACCCAATTTCGCCGGATTTTCAGTGTTGGGTCGTCCAGTATTCACTGGGATATCCCTTCCCAATCCAACGATTTCGGTGCTTTCTGTGAGGAGATAAATTTTCGGAGGCATACTTTGTACTGGATGCCGACACAGGCAGAGGGAAAGAGAGAGGGACAGTGAGAGAGACAGAGAAATAGAGACAGAGAGCGCGAGAGAGATGGCCTGAGGGAGAGAAAGATAGAGGTAGCGAAAGAAAGAGAGAGAGAGAGAGAGAGAGAGAGAGAGAGAGAGAGGGAGAGAGTGAAAAACAGAAAGTGCACGAAATGTGAGAACTTACGGTTCTTTAGGATTCCGGGGAGAACCAATTTTTTCCTGGTGGTCCCGGGTGACCTAGTAATCAAATATAAAGTGTTTTCGGATTGTTTTTAGTAAGTTTTAACTATATTTAAAGCAGAATAACATTCAGAAAAATTTAGAAAAATGTTTCAAAAAGTCGAAAATTTGGTCATTTTGGGTCTTTCCCCCGCGAATCCTAAAGGTTCTATAGGATTGTTCGACCTAATTTTTATTTTTTCTTATTTTTTTGGTTAGATGTGTGTAGTTTTGATGCTCAGGAATAGTTAAAAACAATTTAGAAACGCATCCGCAATTTATAAAAAAATCTAGGCCTATGCCGAAAAAATTTGGGTCCCCCCGGGAATACCCCCCCACGAATCCTAAAGAACCGAACTTACTATAACCTAATCTAACTAATCTAAATATCGGCGTTATTTCCAATTTTTATGACTTTACGAAAAACGTTAAAAATTGCGAATCTATGTCTTCTGATTAGCAAGACTATTCGAAAAAATTGTTTTCACTGCGGTTTTTAAAAGTATGGTGTGTGTCGTTCTTCAAATTCGTTTGCGATTTTCAAAGAGAGATTGAGGCATATAGAAATTTATTTTTAATAGCCAGCTCGCAAGCATTTTTTGCAGCTTCTAACGCTGTACGGCTTGTTCTTGGCCCTGAAGAAGTTAGAGGATGCATATTCTGTTTTGATCCGCCATCGTGTTGTTGTTGCTTTGTAGCCTGCTGTGGCTGTGACTTGCAAATACGCTGCATCCAGGCGCCTCCTACATCACTATTGGAGTCGTATGCCGCTAGCCGTTGTACGAAATGGCCATTTCTTCAGACCATCATCCGGCTTTTGGGCTTGGACTTCGCGTTGTTTGATGTCTGCACTTTCTGTTCTGCTTTTCCTATTCTTGTTTTCTTTCTTCACTTTTTCTTGTTTGTCTAAGGCCTCAAGTTTCTAGTTGTTCAAATTCGACCGGTAAGTACGCTTGTTCGCGTTCGTTTCTTCTGTCGATATGCTTCTTCCCCATTAAAGTCCCTATCCTCGATTTTCTCCTTGAAAGAACTCCCTATGAGACATCAGAGAATTGGCAATTTTCTTCTTCTTATTTTTCTTTGACGATATAACATAGACGTTTGATGGTGTCCAAGGACAAAGTATAATTGTCTGAAGATGCGTCAAAGGCAGAGATGTTGGAATACAACCAAACAGTTAATCAGTTAGTCGAGAGGGTCCTTCCCAGTCGGTCCTTGGCCTTAGTTGATGGGTCATTTCTGGCTATCCTCGGGACAGCTTTTATGGGGTTGATGTTGGTGTCATTCGGGCTGCCTTGGAGTCCGATAAAAAATTCTTTGATGCTTCCGCTCAATAGCGTGAGGCCATTCCCGTTCCAGAAATTTGCTTGACTTGGCGCCGTGCCAGGAGCCGTTCCGGGGGATTCGAGTTTTGTACAGTATGTTGCCGAGTTCTAGGTTCGAAAAAGTCGACGAACCTCGAAGGCATTTTATGACAATTCGTGAAATCGTGGTATGCCAGCTTAGTGAATCCCGCGCCTTTTATCGCAATTTAGTAGCCTGCCGTTTTGGGAGACAAAATTGTGCCGCTTTTGTCTACTATACGAACGTTATTTGGGCTAACGCTTTTTCCATCGTTATGCATTCAATTTGGCATCAGTTTGTTATCGATGCTGTTGTGAGGCCTTGTGCCTTTCCGCGTGCCTTTTTTCGGAAAATAGAAAATAGCCTCATAAAATATTCTTATCACGATTTCGAGCATGAAGGTGGATTTTGCAATTTTCGAATTCTTTTTTCTACCTTCGTTTCGCGCTCCATTTTTGATATTTTTCTTCAAGTTCTGTTTATTGATGTATCACTTCCAATAACTGGCTTCATTGGCTTGCAGCTTGGCTCGCACACCTGCCGTAACTCGCGGTTGCAACGCAGCCAGGATTTTGCTGACGTCGAAAAAGAGTTTTTGAGGTTCGACGATGGCCTGTAGTCGGTCGACCGTTTTGGTGTATGTTTTTTGCCCGATATTTTTCAATCCGCGGTTTTCTACATAGCTTCGAACTAGTAGCTTTTAGGCCAAATCCACCAGCATCATCGTCGCCGTCAGAAGTCTACTTTTCCTTCTTGACGATACCCTTATTTCTGGAGGTGTTTTTTTTTTTTGGGGGGGGGAATATTGACCCACAGTCTCCGTTCGTATTGGTCCTTTTTGAAAATTTTCATTAGAGTTTTTTTGATGGCTTTTCGGATAATATAGAAGGAAGCTATTGGCCTTATTTGGCCTTCAAATCCATTTTCATCTGAAGTTTCGTCAGGACATTGTCGAATTCATCAAAATTTTGATTATTTTTTCAATCGATTGAAATCACAGCGATTTCTACACGTAAATCGCAGACCGTGGTTGTGAAATTTTCAAGCTTGCTCGGCCTCAAACAGCTTTAGGACAGAATTGACGGTACTTCGTAGGAAATCAATGCCACATATCCCAAACTTGAAGCACCCGTTTTGACTTTCTTCCAATGAACACATTGATCAAGTCTTTTTTGGGCCGATTCTAGAACACTGCTTCGCTTTCTATCATTTTCTGGGTTTTTAGATCTTGGCCATTCGACGGCGCCTTTATATAGTTTTCGATGTCATTGAGGGAGCCAAACGCATCCTTAAAGCTCGCTCCATAAAACTTTGGGCTTTTCCATTTCGATGTCCGGCGTCTTGTTTCTTTGGTTTTAAGGTTTTCTCGTTAAAGTCGAGGTGGTGAATTCATCGTTTTCCATTAAACAGCTTTGAACGATTGATCCATTTGCATTTTTTTGGGGTTTCAAACGTTTTCATTGGCATGATCTCGCCATCCTCTTCAACTCACGACCTCAAGCTCGTGGAATGGCTGGTACGAGGTGATGATCAAGGAGAACATCGGTCATGGCCAGCGAGATGGCTCTGAAAGGGGAACTGATTAAAAACCTTCAGAAAACGAAAACAATCTATTGCTAGTCTGGTCGAAAAAAAACTACTTGTGAATACTGACATCCGATAGATTATATTTTAGCCCGTCGAAAATTGTTCACGATTCTATTTAAGATCCATAGATCTATCTAATTCCGTTAAAATCAGAGCTTAACGATTACCGGCGTGATTTGGGGTTTCCACTCAGTTGGAGTTGTTGTCATATGTTGGTTACATCAATCAGCATCAAGTAGTTTGATGCATCTATCAGGTCACTTGTTCGATGAAGCGACTTGAGTCTGGTGAAATCACCCAAGATGAGACGGCTGCCTGAAAACGTAACAGTAAAAAAACTAAAAAAAGCAATTATTCGCGCAGGGGATAAATACGTGAGCGAGAGGGAGAAAGAAAGGAGAGAGAGAGAGAGAGAGAGATAGGAAAAAAAGAAAGAACGAGTGAGATAGAGACATAGCGAGAAGAAGAGAGAGAGAGAGAGAGAGAGAGAGAGAGAGAGCAAGCGAGTGACACAGGCGAGAAGTGCGAGAGGGACATAAAGAGAGAGACAGAGAGTAGGAGAGATAGAGGGAGAAAGTCAGAGAGAGAGAGAGAGAGAGAGAGAGAGAGAGAGAAAGAGAAGAAAACAGATTTTAATGCCTCAAGAAAAGAACAAAACGTGGGTCTTAAAAAACGATCTGCACAACTGTACGTTTTTGGGAGCTTCCTATTTTTGCGAGTTTCCCCTTCCAGCGATGTGGCCACGGTGTACGGCCACGAGCCCTGAATACTAAGCAGGCATAAGGCGTGGGAACCATAGAGCCGCCGCGCAAGATCGATTTTTATCGACTGTCGGGGTCGTGGTTGTGAATGGCGGTATTGTAAGACGAAAAGCTGGAGGATAAAAGGGGGAAATCCGCAAAGCTACCAAAAGAGATACACAATTAGGAGAGATGAGAGTTTTGAGACATTTGCGAGAAAGCGTGAAATTTGGTGTTGACTTTCAAAATCAAACTCCACGTGTCTGTTGGTTTCGAAAAAAGTCACTGCAAGCGAGGTTCTTGTTAGCGGATGCACAGAAATTTTTATAAACTTGCTGATCGCGTTTGTTTTTCGTCTATTAAAGAAAATATATCATATTAAATAGGCAGTTTTTGGAAGTCTTCAAAAAAATTTTTTTTGAAAACTTGATGCCTCTGATTCAATTCAAAAATTGTCCGGCTTTGTGTGTTTGTGTGTTTTTTACGAAATCTGTTGCAGTTTTTAAAGACAAGTTTGACGCAAATAGATATTTATTTTTAATGGCCGGTTCTCAAGTAATTTTTTTTAGTTTTTAGCGTTGGGCGACTTGATCTTGATCTTGAACAATTTATAGGGCCCATATTCTCCCGACCTTTGTGTTGTATTCTTGCATGGATTGTAGTTTTCTTTGGTTTGGGTCTTCTCGTCGGCTGCTTTTTGGTGCATTCTTGATCATGATACGAGTGATACTGCTCCAAATTTCCCATTCCTGAGCACGACTGGATGCGCTGCTGCTCCTTCGAATCTAGATTGGATTGGCCAGAAGTTTTTTGTTGAAGTTGAATTTTGTCTTTGTTGGAGCGGATCTCGTCGATTTTCGTCTAAGCTGTCTTAGCATCTTTATAAGTTTTCGGGGCAGATTCTGTAATTCCGACTCGGCCCTCTGCTGCTCATAGATCAGGCTCCCA